TCACATTTTTAGCTAGATTAGTTGAGCTTCTATTCCATCATGTTCAATCTCAAGACAAGACATTCTATGTTTTATTATTATAGAATATTTCTTGTAATCTTCTTACATTAATTCATCCACTATCATTAAAATCCTTTACCATTTTATCTTTATATTTGATGCGAATTAAGTTGATCCACGCATATCACAGGTCAATTAATTGCATCATGAAGCATGATTCATAATGTGTATGGTGAACATTGGTCCACTATATAATGACTTGTAGAATGACAATTGTAATTGGTCCTTGGCTCCTTGCAGTTGCAGAGTTGCAGTCTTATGTGGGAGAGGCTGATTTGACTGTCTTGTCAATATCATTTGCTCACCACTATTGGTCCCTTTTCTCACGTCTTTGTTGGATGTCCACTTTTAACTCAAGTGATATCAATTAAGTACTCCGTATTTTTACAAAATTAGAAAACATACATTATAAATTTTGTGCTACTTTGAAACATCGATTCAAGTTTAGGGACAAAGTTATATTTACAATGTGACTTTAAACCATTATAGAAGTTACGGAGTATTATATTAAAGTGTAAAATAACTTATCACAAGAAAAAGAAAAAATTACTTCGTATTTGCTTTAAGAGTTTAAGGTGGTGGCTAAACATTCCTCGTACCTTTTAATATTTTGATGGAAGATAGGCCGGGGCTTTTGAGGCTAAGGCGTGTGTCGAAGTTGGTGAATTAAGTTTGTAGTTTGGGTTACCCATCCTCTTATAATTTAAAAAAAAAAACAGTAAAAATATTTGATGTAATTTTGTTTAATTAATTCAGGATAGTATTAGTAATTTGTAGCTGTAGTTAATAATATGAAAAATTATAGCACTGATAGCATATTACATATTATTTCTACTTATTAACATTCTTAGTTTAAATCGGTCAGTTATGAACAATCTAGGGTATGGATTATGGTTTACCTCACTGTGACATTTTTTTTTGGTTAGGTTTACAAGATCACCGACCTTACTCAGAGCGCATATTCGGATAGTAGTTGCGAATTTTTTTGAAAAAAAAAAAAACTAGTGCAAAAATAGTTAAAATAACATTTTTAGATGACAAATGGAAGAATACATGTAGAAAAACAACTCCCACATGCATAAAGATGATTACAATAATGAGTCTTTCCTGCTATATATTAATACAACTACTACACAAAAATTTTGTACTTGTGACTAACATTATATTGCTATTACACATACATATGTAACACATGCCTGCATTATTATATTTTAAAATTATTCTTTTCAATACAGACCATATAACATAATGTAAAACTCATATATACCACACATTTTATATATCTACTTTCATCACACTCTAAAGTGTTACTAGCTATACTAGGTTCAATTATTAAATTGGAATAGAGTTTACAAACTCCATAGATGCACAGTATATATTTTTGTTTCTTTTCAATCACTATCGGTGTCACATGAACCAAATTGGATATATTTACCAACTTAGCTTTTACACAATTTTGTAGCTAGCTGCAGATCGAAAATGTGATTACTTGTACATTTTCTCGATTTGAAAACAGGAAAAATATTATTGAAGCTTAAGTGTTGCAGTCCTTGGTGTATTATTGGGATTGAGACTAGAAACATATTCTTGTTTGTTAAATGGCTGTTAGCTGATAGCTGTTTCTGTTAGCTGATTGAGTTAATTAGAGGATATAACTAGTTGATAACATTAGCTGATTGTAGAAAAGTATTTGGTAAATTAGCTGTTAGCTGATAGTTGTTTGATATAATTTCTTTTCTCAAAAAACTAATTGAAAAAGTTGTTTTGAGTAAATTTTTGAATTTTAACATTTTGGAGTTATAAAAAGCTAATTAATCAAACACTTATATTGAATTTTTAACCAAGGCAAAGAGCTAATAGTGGTCAAATAAGTCAAAATTGACCTATAGGCTAACTATTTTACCAAACAGGGTCATTAATTTTTTTGTTGAGTGACGAAGAAAACTCACAGCTACTATTTGAGAGTGTGCAGTGGATAAATCCAGGCCCGCATTGCGATCATAGCTGGTAAAGGATCCGCCTTGTGACCCTAGCGGGCACCACAAAGAAGTAAATTAACTAGCTTATGTTACCTATAGCTGATCGGCTCAAACTAAGAAGGTTCGACCCATAAGCCATTACTGCCGGAAGTAATATTGTGATTACCAAGTTGATCAACGGCCTGAAAACTCGGGAGGTGTGAGATATAATAGAGACAGTAGTATTTAATTTGGTAGTAGTACAATACATTGAGCTGAGAGAGATGCTTCAATGAGTGAAGACTATGTTCATAGCATGAGGCTATATTATGAGGTCTGAATAACGTACTGTTTGCAATCAACGTAACGAACGTAACGGCACATGAAAACGGGTCCATTTGTCACTTTCAATAGCATCTTTACTACCAAGCATACTCTTGACTTGAACCTCATCTGTCATATACACTCTGCACCTCAACGTGCAACTTAATTGCCTGCAACAACTAACATTAACAGACCCAAAGTGATTGACCTTGACCCGTGTTAATTCCATTATAATTCAACTTATATTAAACCTGTCAAAACCCATTAGATATATATTTCCAGGTGATCTGAATGATCTGGGCTTATATATTACTGTGCATTGAACTTAATTTGATCAACTTGAATAGATAGATATAATGATATAATGCATGCCCTTTTGGGGGCCGGGATAGATAGATGGTGCAGCCAGACCTAATTAGCCGGCCTCGTACGACCAAAGATTCTTTCCATAGATTATGCAAACAGGAGGCAAAAGTTTTCCTTAAATTTTTGTTTGAGAGTAGCAAAGTTAGTCTGTAAAGTGAGGTGGTTATTCTTTATTCTCACTGCATTATATTATTGCCTTTTCCAGACAGCTTGCTACTTGTTTATACGCACTGTACTTCAACTCTTACATTCTTGCTAGCTTCCATCTGTTTTCTCACCAATAAATCAGATAATCACCATCATATCTATCATTGTTCTTAACAAAACATCCTTAATTAATTGCAGCAGATTAATTAACATGGTACACTTAGTCTTCTGCCGCAGTACGTACGTGTTGAGTGTTTTGCTTCTACGTGTGCACACACACGTGTGCGTGTGTGCAATCAATTATTGACGCCATTGGATTAATCAATATATATATATATATATATATGTATGTGGATGTTTGTTATAGCAATAATAGAGATCGACAAGGGTTTGTGTCAGCATTGGGCTAGGGTTTGACTTTTAATGGAAGAAATAAAATCAGATCAACTCAGTGCTTCACTTTGGTAAATAAGGATTTTGGGAAAATGACCCTTGCCCTAACTTTTTCATACAATTTGTCGGGTTGATGTTAAGTCGTTTCGTATTAACTGTTCGATACGTATAATCATATCGTTTCGGATTTTATTATAAATTAATCATTTTTTTTTGGTGTTCATATATAGAGTGCATATATAATTTCTATGATTCATGCATTATGAGTTAATCATTATATACCATACACTCTATGACTTAAATTTTTTGGGCACAAATTATTATTGTCACAGCTGGAGGAATTGTCCTCTTCTTAAATCCCAGTTCATTCCTCAAGTTTATTATGGGTGGGATTTCCAGTATGATAATAATAATTCATGAAACCGACCTTCCACTTGAAAACTCCAAAGAAATCCCCATTCAAACAAAACTTCAATAATAACATTATTGATATTGTTGTTATTTATTATTCTGGACCCGAGGCTTAGAGAATCAAACTCAATATTTTGCTATCGATAACTCGATAAGTGTTGCTGACTGTTATGCAAGTATATAAAAATAATGTTACGTTCTTGACTTTTTGTTACTAGCTAGCTCTAATTTTTGACGTAATGAAAAGAGTTTAATCTTAATAATTAGTATTAAAATAGATCAAATGTATTGAGTGGGGATTGTTACCCCCAAAATTATACTCTGTCTTTCCCTCTATATAACCATGACAAAGCACACCACATTGTGGAATTCTCTTATTATTAATATATGGTTCTTTCATTTTTATTATTATTTTTATTTTATTTTTTTGCATGGGCAGCTGTCAAGAGTGTGGGGTTCTTGGTTTTGGTTTTTGTTGATAGAATACGACAGCATTAGGTCTATATTTGGAAGTAGTAGATCAATTTATTAATATTAAAATAAGATTTATTTATATGTTTATGATATTATTCTTTGCTAAAATTTGAACAAAAATTGGATAACCACTTTGATTTTTGCCTTACCCTAATCATGTAACTTGTTTTGTTAGTTTGATGTTAAGCCCCACATGCAGATCAGACCTGTTGCATGCATATATTCTTCAATCATTTTTCAGAATGGAAAGTTAGTTAATCATCATCTATCATTAAATCCTTTCAAAGCATGCAACCCCTCTTCCTCATTTCTCAATAATCCATTCTTTCATTTACGAAAAAGTCCGCAATTGCTGTTCAAATGTGCAGTTTGGATGAAGCCCACAATCTCAAACCGGTTTATAAACAACATATGAGGAGGTTAAATTTGTAACTTTATAGTTATCGAATGAACTGCTCCACCAACTCAGTTAGGATTGTCCCAACCATCAATAATCCAATTTGTCAATCATTGCACACTGCTATGAGTTACTTTCTTTCCTTTTTTTTTTTTTTTGGAGTTAGAAAATATGTAAAAAGTCAAAAATATTGGGTGATGGGTAGGGAAATATATATAATTTTTGTGGTTCATTAAGAAATAATACAGATTAATATGAGATCTCTTGTGTTGAGTCTCGAACTTATGACATGGATAGGATAAAGCCTTTTGGTAGGATTCTTACTTCTTAGTTTGGCATTTATGTATTCAGGTTGTTCCCAACCTTATAGGCAGGAATTTAACAAAAGAAGACTAATGAAGAAGATTAAGAAAAAGATGAAACATAATCTTCACAAATCTAATGTTTTTAGCATTTACAATCTCACCCCCCCCTACCCCACCCCCTCCCGGCCCCAACCCACCAATCATCTCCTTTCTGGCTTTCTCTTTTCCACTGCAGCAACAGAGAATGAACATATACTGACTGAAATACCATATTTCATTGCCAGTTTCTTCCCTTCACACCATCTGCCAAGAAACGCAGGCATAAGTCAAAAACAAAATTTGTTTTTTGGGTTTTTTCAATTAGGCTTTAAAAGAATTACTGTGAATTGAAGCAGTATTTGGAACAAAATGCCAGGTTATATATAACTCACCACATTTCTTAGAAGCAGCTTTGCCAGAAGATTTCAAGAAACCAAAATGCTTCCCAAGAACAGATTTGCCCTGAAACAGTAAAGCTAGCTAATTACTTACAGAGTACTTAGACAAGATATATGGAAAAACAGGGAAGATGGTAAGATCAAGAACCTTAAAATGTGTCTCAGAGATGCCAGGAACATGTTCCTTTGAAGGTCTGTCATTATATAAACTTGCATTTTCCTGAGAAAACAAAAAACAAAAACATCAAATGTAAACTATCCGGCCAACTGGAAATCAAGAAACTGATAGATGATTTTACCAAGATTGATATTTGATTGAACGAACTTACCACGGGGAAGGTGGTGGTAGGGGAGCTAGCAGTATCATCAAGATAATAACTCTGATTTTTACTGCCTCTTTGCTCCTCACTTTTCTTTTTCTTCTGCTTTCCCTTTCTGGGCTCAAAAGCTGAAGAATAACACACATAATCAGACTGAACATAGCATTCATCAACGTCGTGGAAATGCGGCGGCCCTGAGGATGCATCAGAGACCATAGACAAGTCCTCATCTTCACCGGAAAACGCCACCTTCCCGGCGTAAACTCCGGCGCCGGCGGTGGGATTACTGTTGTATTGATCTGCAGAGCTGTTGGTGTGTTGGTCCAAATACATTGTCCACCCGGATTCGCAGCCGCTGCTGTATTGAGAGCCTGATATGTTCATTCTTCTTTCTTCTGGTTGAGGTAGTGAAAGAATTAAGCAGAAGAAGATGAGAGGATTGAATTGAAGTGAGATGAGATGAAGAGGAGAATTGTGTATTTATAAGAGGGAGAGAGGGGTGTATAAAACCAAAAGTAGCACATTCGAATCCTAGACTGGTTTTGTCCTTTGCTTTATCCTTTGGCTTTAGTTTTTATATCTCTTTTGTGAAGAATCAAAAATTGCCAGTTGGCTTGGCCATGGTGGAGAAGGAGAGTTTTGGTCTTTTTTTTTTTTTTTTTTTTTTTTTTTTTTTTTTAAATTAATTTCTCAAATACCCTTAAGTATTGTAGTGTTATATTATACATCTACTAATTTAAAATAGGCATATCTTCTGGAGGCTCTATGGACCATTCTAAAAAAATGATTGATTTTGTTAGGGTATTTTCATGGAAATTTTACATAATTTTTGCAAATCTGAGTGCATATGTGAGGAGAGATACGAAAGAGAGAGAATAGGTTGGGCGTTACAAGAGAACTTTAGTTTTTTTTTTCAGAATTGTGGGTCCCATTAAAATAAAAAGTAGTTGCTTCACTGTACCGTAAGCTGCACAGCACGCTCAGTGGGGGGCGTTAAACTTCAAAATTTTTTTTTCCTTTCCCTTCCATCTTTTCTTTCCTAGTCATACCTGCAAAAATCTACAACTATTGAGGATGCTCTAATATGCCATGTGCAGATTAGATGATGTGTTACATTACAAGTGTTTGATAAACTATCTTATAGTTGGTCTTATAAAATTTTTCTCACTGCATATTACGTACGCTAGTCAAAAAATTAAATCAAGTATTGTTTGAGGAATCAAACCCTTATCATCAACCCGACCCAACCTTAAAGATCATTGATAAAATTGTCATTAATATTTAACATTTACAATATATTTTAATCAAGGGTCACAAGTTGTCCACAATCTCTAGGCTGAATATACGGTACTTTACAAAGGATGCATTTGGGAGATTGAATGGTCAAAACTGTTCACATATCCCATTCAGTCACATTATTTCCATTTTAATTGCTCTAATCTCACTAGAAAATCTAAAAAGGCCACGTACTAATAAATAGAAACTTTGGTATGTCCATTTTTTTCCTTTACAATTACGTCTATTTGACAAGGAAAATAAAATGACATTTCATGTATACATGCACTCCACCAGCCATAAATGCATGTTTCATGAGATAGTTCTGAAAATTTGTGCAACTGCAACCTGCCCCCATCCATTACGGATACTGGGACATCATAGTACAACAACTTGTGAGAAACGAGTCAACAAATTGTTGTCCTATCTTCTGGTTCTTGTATGAAACTAAGAATTGAGTACCATATTAGTAGCAGCAAACATGGAAATGTAAAAGCATGGTTTAATGCAAATTGCTCAATGAATCCTCTAGATATTGACTTGGGAGCTCTCAACTGCAAACCATGTATGTACAGTTGAAATATTACTGGTATTACCCAACAACATTTACAAATTATTCTCGAGACTTAAATTACAAATTCGATTAAGTGTCAAATATATAGCCAGTGTTACACTACAAAGAAAAGCTAAGATACCATGTGTCTTCCAAAAATATATATAAGATTATGATTTAATTATACTACAAGAATGTCATTATCTTACCTAAGCTAACAAAAGGTTACAAACAAAATAAAAGGATAACATCAGTTATGGGACTTCAACAAAAAGAGTGTTGCAACTTAAAATTTCTTCAACAATGAAGATTTTATCTCCATGTTGGGCTCAAAGAAACACCAAATTTCAACCCAGGAGAGAAATGCAGTGCCAAAAATGTTGTCTGGCAAAGAGAATTATGGATATATGATGAAGTTCACAGTAAAGTTGATAAGTCATCTGGTCCCAGGCTCTATTATTTTCTGTGTGCACATGCACATTTTTTTTTTTTTTGTAATTATATAAATGTTTAAACATTTTTTATTTGTATAGATTATAATTGAAAATGTTAATCACCTTTATGATTATGGCTATCACTCCTTGATTACAAATATGTAATAACTAAATACCCTTACATCTACAAATATGTGACAAACTGACAATTGCATATGCGGGTAATTATTGCATGTTTGTGATGTGACACTTACTACATCACTAGTTGTTTGTGAGTAACAATTATAAGAGTTTTACTACATGTACTCCCAAATCATATTCTCTCAATTTTACTTCTTGATGTAACGGACTCTGATAAGCTTTTTTTTTTTTTTTTTTTTTTTTTTTTTTTTTTTTTTTTCATGATAGGTCCTAATACAAGTGTTAAAATCACAATTTTGTGTGTGAGGGTAAAACTTAGAAATAAAAAATAAAAGTTCAAATAGCATATTCCCAATTATAATGGTGATTAGCATTATTGTCCCTACCCAAGCATGCAATTGTCACATTAAGGAGTCACTGTCTATGAGTTACAAATGTGGATGTACGTAACATGGTGTAATGATTAATTTATTGGCCGGAGTTTAAGTAAATTAATGCAAGGGTAAAGGTTAAAGTAGAAAAAAAAAAGGGAGGGAGGGAAGGGGGGAATTAAGTGTAGTTATACACTAATACTCCTTTATAAAGTTACCTATATACTTTTTGTAAAGAAAATGTTTTTTTTTCCCTCATAATTTTTACTTCCAAGATTTTTTTCTTGATTTATCTTTCATTCATTGAATGCCAATAAAATGGTTAACTCACCACTAACTAATAAATAAATTTAACTACCAATCACATTATGACATTTAAGAGAAAAAATTTGTAGAAAGAATACATGAAAGATTTCTACACTTACTCGTTTTTCAATTTACATGCAACTTGACTAAAATTAATTAATTAAATTTAGTTTTCCCTTTAATTTTTTGTTTGATTTCTTTAATTCTCAACCCAACTTTACATTATGGGCTTTCGAGCCATGTCTTTTTAATGACCCACAAACTAGCTATCAAACAAACATGTTTTAAAATTTTTTATTTCAGAATTCATAAAAACAGTTTCTTATATGGTACAAATTTTCTTTTGGCTTATTGGTGAAAAATATTAAAAATTTATATTTTATGAAGATTATACTTAAATCTTTAAAATTTGAAAATAAAAAATCACAAATTTTAATATTTTGGGACAATTTGATTTTTTTCGAGCAGCTTTTTGAGAAACTCATTTTGCATGTATGTAATCAGTTATCAACTAACAACTAATTTATTAAACATTTTTTTTACAATCAGCTAATGTTATCAACTAGTCAAACCCACTAACTACTAACAACTATTTGCCATATACCCCATTATCCTACACTATTGTCCCATGCATGACCGTATCATTTAAGCTCATTCTCCATAAATCTAAAGGACTGTTCTCCTTGCGGTGGAGGATGATCTTTATCCCATGAGAAGAATAAATAAAAGCCTTCATCTTGTCACGGAGTAACATATCAATTAGATTATATACCAGCATTACTTAATAATGTATGTAGCAGCCGAATAAGGCTGTATACTAGGACATGATTAGTATTGTAGACGTTTTACAAATATAAATGTTCCCGTGTTCGGTGTACCCTAGAGCATTTCCCAATGCTTCCATTATTGCTCACAGTAATAATTAAAACAAATATGAATATGCTTGTGCTAACAAAATTTTATCCAAAACAAAGATACAAACACCATGTAACATAGTTAGCTTATCAACTAACTTTGACTTATTTAACAACTATTAGGACATCCCTAATAAGAGAGTTTTACACAAGAAAAAAATAAGTATGTGAAGGAAAGAGGAGAGAGAGGGTTGAGATAGTCCTGCTAATTGTGAATTTTGTCAGGGATTTTGGAAGTTTTGGGAATTTTGTCAGTTTTTTATTTTATTTTTTTTTTTCATTTTCACTCATTTCTCTTTCCTAATCACACCTCCACAAACTTCTCAAAAACTACACCAAGATCCTCACTATTGAGGATGCCCGTTGATTAACTTGGTTAAACAATCAATATGAGTGTTTCTTATAACAACTTATTGCTCCAAAATGCTAAAATTCAAAAAGTTATTTAAATTAACTTTTTCAATCAGCTTTTTAAGAAATTCATTTTGTATGTAATCAACTATAAGTAAGTTAATATTATCAATTAGTCAAACTCACCAATCCAATCAGTTAATAGCTATTTACCAAGCATATATCTTTCATATGAAACATTGATAATGAGAAAGACAAACTAAGATCGACTTCAAGACAAATATTAAGGTCATGTTTAAGCATGTGTAAGATAAGTGATTGCATAGTACGTGTCCTGAATTTTTAAAGGTCTATGGACAGACATACTAAAGGTGGCCCTATGGCTATATATGATACAAACAATATATTAAGACTTACTTGTGAATATATTATATGGGCGGGGATTTCATGGCGAAAGGGTTTGGTATCGCGGACCAGCCACTCAGCCAGCCAGCCGGTGGATCTGGGGGGCTACACCTGAACTCAACGTACGTACCATGCCACAAACATTAAAATAAGGCGGCTGCAGTCCTGTCCTGGGCTATGTTACGTAAAAGAATACTGTACAAAAGAAAATATAATACCAGAGGTCCAGAGCCCCGGCCTAGCTTGTACAAATTAAAGCTAATTAAACTGCCACGTATCTTTCACCTCAATCTGATTTTCTTAGAAACGCCTACAGAGCAAAACACGCTATTAGTTAGTTTATAAATATACAAATGACCAAAATTTAAAATTACACTTTAATCTCGAAAACTTTCACTCTTCCTGTATGGTGAAACTGAGACTTAGACAGAAGAAATAGAGCGTCCAAGTTAGTAACAATATTCTCAAGTAAATAAATTACTAGAAGTTTGAGACTGAAAATTTAAAGCCTGGCGAACTGTTCAGACCAAGTACTCCGCTCCTAGACTATGTTGGTTTGGATACTGCACGCCAGATGGAGAAAGTTAAAGAAAATGGAAATAACGTAGTACGTAATAATTAAAGAAATATTAAATTGATTGGTTGGTAGAGATGGTGATGGGGTTCGGTCACATGCCACGCGTCGCCATAGCAGGGAATCACCAACACCACTCCCTTCAATCGGTCCCAGAAACTTACTGCTCACTCCAAGCAAACCAAGAAATTTTAAAATTAAAATAAAAAGTCACTGCAGATGGAAGAGAGGGGCAGTAGTGTAAATTGGAATATTATCCAAACAAGGCATGCATAGGTGTTGGCATGCATGGAGTCCAAGTTCACACGCGTTACGGTGGAAAAGGGTCCCTTTCTTCGGTGCGATGAGATGAGCGCCCACCGCTTGATTGGTAGCCTACCCCCCTACCCAGCTTTTGCATCATTCCCATTTCTACCCTCATTTCCACAAAACAAAATTATGATAGATTTACCTAAATTTAAACCATCATTACTTGGTACAAATGACACTAATACGATCAATATAAGTGCAGACAGTACACAATATAACAAAAAAATTAATATATAATTATTTTAATACTATCAACTTTAAAAAAAAAAAAATATTGTAAATACGGAGCATATGATACATGTTTAAATTTTTGCAGAACTCTATAATGCTTATCACCCATGTTTCTTGTACTGAATTCAATCATGTATATTTTTGAAATTATACAAGGAACTATTAATTTTTGTCTATACAATTATATCAGGCACACGTTGTATGATTGACCCTTTAAAATTTTTCTTAAGTTTTTTGTAATAATTTGATTGGAACAGCCTATCCGTAATTATCATATCGAAAATTAAATTAGATTTTGATTGAGTTTTGTGTATAGGTTGGTTGTAACTTGTAATAATAGAATTAAACAATGGGGAGCTGAGGGGATGGTATTGTTGATTTGTAGATGGTATCACCGAACAGGAGGGGTGTGATAAGTGTAAGCATGCATGTATAAACCCACATGTCCCGTTTCTTTAAGGTTCTCAAACACGTACCTGCCAGAGTAGATTTCCAAGTGTCAATTCTTGGTCTCATGTTGCCTCTTTCTCATTGGTTCACCATCTCCTCTTATACCACGCCCAGCCCCCACAAACTCATTCAGACTACCTCCAACCAGATCCTACAATTCAATTACCTTTTTTTCTCTCTTCTTCCTCGGCTTCTCTGTTCTGCGCTGGTGGGGAGCTTCGAGAGAGAAAGAGAGTGATAAAGAAGAAAGAAAAGAGATTTGGAAAAAACCATTTCAGCCAAAATGATGCAAACACTGAAGCCGTATTCCACCACTGCAAAAACAGCTGAAATCATGGCTAGGTATAGGCCTATAGCCCCCAAGCCTGAGGCGTCTGGGAGTCCCTCCTCGCCGGAGAATTCTAATGCTTTGCCGCAGAGCATTAGCAAATCTCCTTTCCTTAGAAATATATGGCCTCACTTGCAGGCAAGGCCTACGAGGACTAGGAAGAGAGGGAGGTCTGCACTTGCGCCACCACCTCTGAAGAGACCCAGGGCTTGTTTGCAGGGGCTTTCTCCTCCTTATAATGTAATGGCCTCCCCTGCCAAATCCTGGTCTTTACGAGGCTTCGTTCATAATCCAAATGGGTTGCCCCAGATTCCTATACTCCCAAATCTCGCGCCCCTGAAATGTGGGTTAGATAATCCGGTTTCTACAATTCCAAACTCCATCACCGTTCCTTTTCTTTCCCGTACCTCACCACCCTCCATCCCGGCCAAACCTCTGGAACCAACATCTCCACGTAACCGTGCAGAAAACTCTAGAGCTGAGAGGGGCATAGATTTGAACATGGCCGCCGAAGTTCCTGAAGAAATTGATTTCATCTCACAATTCCGAGCACCCGCTGTTATTACCCCACGGCCTGTTCGTCCAGTCGGTTCCAACATTTATATAGGCTGTATCACCAACGATGATCGCCAACCCGGGGAAAAACTGCCCAAAAAACCAGAGGAAGTGGAGAATGAAGTCGAGACAGAGGAGTTGCCAGCCGTTGTTTCCGACTCCAACAACAAAGTCCGGCTGGCCAATTCTGCTTATAAAGAAATGGTGGGCCAGCCGGAATGTCGCTGGCTTGATTACACGGCGTATGGCGACGGAAAGGGCGGCGGCAGTGCATGCAAGAGGATCTCCGGGGAGGTTATTCTTCAGTTCTTGGATTCCTGTGATGTGCCACTATCATCAGATAGATTCACATGCTGGGTGAGGATAGAATGGAGAAGCAATGACAAGAAGAATTCAGTAAGGGCTCTCTGTGATGCTGTGAAGTTGGCTTGCCAGTCCAAGGACTACCTGTTCCAATGGAGGTTCCACACCAAAGAACACTCATCAGAATCTGCCTCCAACATCAAAAGTACCCAAGTTTAAATGCTAAGTATCTTGATCCAAAGTACATCTCAACCTTTTCTGCACAATACTAAGATGTACATAAAATAGTAGTAGAAAGGCTGTAGCAGTAGTTTTTTAAATACAGTCCTTGCAAAATTAGGGAGCCCCGGTTGAACTTTCAAGCAGTAGACCTGCGCTCTGTAATTAGTAAATAGTAATGGAATTAAAATTTTGCATGTAACTACTGTTTCTCTTCCATTTCAGTTTTTCTTCAACATTTTATTTTTCACCAAAAAAAAAACCATTCTTTTGAATAACGAAAGAAACTCGTAACCAATATCTGATGAACTTGTAGTTACCATCACAGCCATTAGTCCAAAGATTGACCTACCATACCATTCTTGTTTACTATCTACAACAAGTTGATGTTAAGGGGAGATATTGGTTGCAATAATATGATGAAGACATGATACAATGCATTTACTGTGCTTACTCTCTGACGTGCAAGTGCAACATCTCAGTACGTGGGCAATTAAAGCAGCTAGCAGCTGGACGACGTTAAAATTCCTAGGACTCTGCAGGCCCCCTCCATTCTAAGTTATCTGTCTGCATATGATTTACGGCTGCAAACAAAGCCCCAATAAAATGTTAGCGAAGAAAAATGCATATGGTGGGTGGGGCTACTGTCATTCGTCAACGATGCCGTGCTAGTAAAGCCCATAGCAAATCATGTGACTGGGTTGATTTACTTTAGAATGCATAAAACCAATCACAAATTGACAAGACTAGGAAGGAAATATCAACGGAATTTCCCTTTTCTAGAAATTGGATTTGACATCTTCTCTACAAATATGCAGACTTATATGGTTACCAAAAAAACTAATTATATCAAGAATGAAAAATCAAAAGGATATTTGGGGTCCAAACAGTTTGGTAGTGCCTGAAAATTGTGAAAAAAGTAAGGGTTTATTTGAGTTGAACCAGAACCATGAATTTCAAAAGTCCAATTACCAGAAAGCTAAGAGTAAACCAAATCTGTGAAATCACATACTTTTGTGAAGACAGAAAATTTACTTTTCCACTTCCCAACTTTTCCAGAACCCTGTTGAGTTGCTGTAGCAGGTGAATAGATTATAACCTGAAGTGTTCATAAACTAGAAAAAAGTTGCAAGCTAAAAAATATGAAGACAACTGGTCCAACTTGGTACAGAAGGTAGAAGATAGAGAGTAGTTTCCAATGCTTAAATATGACGGCCTGTTTGGTAAAATGGCTGTTAGCAGATAGCTGTTTGCTGTTAGCTGATTGTGTTAATTAGAGAGTATAAATACTTGATAACATTAGTAGCTAATTGTAGAAAAGTGTTTGGTAAATTAGCTGTTAGCTGATAGGTGTTTGGTATAATTTCTTTTCTCAAAAAGCTAATTGAAAAAGTTGCTAGGAGTAGCTTTTTTAATTTTAACCTTTTAGAGTTGCAAAAAGCTAATTAACCAAACATTTATATTAATATTTTAACTAAATCAAACAATTAATAGTGGTCAAATAAGCCAAAATTGGCCTATAGGCTAATTTTTTATCAAACAGGGCCGACATGTTTATAGAAGTGAACAGCCAGCTATGCATTTTAATAATGTTTGCTTGGTTCCATACTTCCATGCATACATAAATGTGACATGTCAATATTCAGCCATAAAGCTTCACAAATAAAGGGTCCATCCGTCCATGCAAACCAAAATTCAAAGTAGGGTCTAGAGTACTAGATGAACAGCTAAGTATAGCGACTGATCTTTTCTTTTATTTATTTATTTTTTTACGAATTAGATTTCCCAACTTTCTCAGTATATACTTAACCTCGTGAACAGACCTCTAAGGCCATGAAAAGTTAAACTAAGTCTTCCTAGCGTTGACACCCACACCATTTTCGAATATAAGAAGTCCAAACCTAGTCTAGCTATATAAATCAAAATATGAATATATGATCCTATCATCATCTAAATGTAGGAAGATCATCCTTAGTTGTGTGGTTCTAGACACATGAACCATTTATACGTCCAAAAAAGATAAACAGTATTTAATATTTAGATCTACACTCAACTGTATGTTCATGCACACAAAGAGTTCAAACTTAATCTAATTATATAAATCAAAATCTGATCCTATTATTATCTATATGTAGGAAGATCCTCTTTAGTTACCTCTAAAAAATCATATTGACCTAATCATATACAATTTAAATCAATATCTAAATACTGTATACAATTTTAACCAAAACGATTTACAATTTAAAAAGTTTTGCTGACCCTCCGGCTTTTTAATCATCTCATTTTCTAAGCTATACATTTCTACAAACATATAAACTTCAATATGGGTTGTCCTCCCATAAATGTACCAAATCTAATATAAACTTCAAAACCAGGGATAAAATTGAATCGACCAAATCAATGAATGGTGAGAGAGCGTACTCTGCGGCGGCGGTGTTCCTAGGGTATTCCCAAGATCATGCCGGAATCGCCATCGCTATGCTCTATCCGAATTTTGAATGTCTTCAGTTTTCTCGGTTCTTCTGTAATGTTGATCTGAGCGGGAAAATTGGACAGTTGTTTATATACGGGTGGAGAATAAAGCAACAGAGCTTTCGAGCTCGTTCTTTTGTTTCATATTGGGCCCACGCGTTACCCAATCCCAAATATACGGAGTTGACGGTTAGAACGATAAATGGGCCAAACAAATTGTATTTTGATAAACATGAATTTTCAGAAAATCATTAAAAATTTGGGCCTAAAACGTCTCACGTAGTGAATCTTGGCAAATTATGTTGTGGACCCGTGTTTACTTTGCAAGGTGGATCCGTGTTATATTCATAATTTTTGAACTCTATATTCATAATATTAGAATCGAATATTCATAATTTTAGATCTCAATACACAAAATTACAGAACTCAATATTCACAATTGGGTAATTCTATATTCACAATTTTAGAACTTTATATTTACAATTACAGAACTCTATTTTCACAATTTCATAACTCTATAACCACAATTACAGAACTGAATATTTACTCGCTGAGTTGTTTTTAAATTTTTTTTTAATCATTGTTTGTGAATATGTAGTTCAAAAATTGTGAATATAGAGTTTAAAAATTGTGAATATAATCCGGATTCACCTTGCAATGTGGATCCAGATCATGACATAACTATCCGTGAATCTTTGAAAATTATATTATGGATCATCATGATCTACATTGCAACTTGAACTATGAATAAATATACATTCAATATACTGAATATACATTATTTGTGTACTGAAAGTATATTATTTAGTAATATATCAAAAGATATACATTAAGTACTCAAATAATGGACATTCAAAAAATGTACCTTTAGGGTCCGTTTGGAAAGCAGGAAAATGACTTGTGGAAAATGAGTCATTTTCTGGAAAAAATTTTCCTTTCCAGTGTTTGGTTGCATTATGGAAAACTGTTTTTCTGTGTTTGGTTCATTTTCTGGAAAATGAGTAAAATTGTATAATTAAACATTTTAATTATTTTATTTAGAATATTACAACATGTATAATAATATATAATAATATAATATTAATTTTAAATATAATAAAAAATAGCTAAGTTTTTCAAAAAAAAAAATTAATAATATATCAAAATTATTATGGTGGTGGTGGTGGTGTAGGGGTAGTTGTGTTATTCGTTATATAATAATAATAATAATAATAATAATAATAATAATAATAATAATAATAATAATAATAATTGGTGGTGGTATGACGGTGGTGGTTGCGGTGGTATGGTCGTGGTGGTAGCGGCGACGGCGGTGGTTGCGGTGGTATGGTGGTGGCAGCGTCGACGGTGGTTGCGGTAGTATGGTGGTGGTGGCGGCGTCGGCGGTAGTGGTGTTGGTGTGATGGTGGTGGTAGTATGACGGTGGTGGCAGTGGTCGTGTGGTTGCGGTGGTGGTGGTGGTGGTGGCGTCGACGGTGGTTGCGGTGGTATGGTGGTGGTGGTGGCGGCGGTGGCGGTGTGATGGCAGTGGTGTGATGGTGGTGGCGGTGGTATGGTGGTGATGGCGGTGGCGGTGGTATGGTGGTAGTGGTGGCGGCGATGGTGGTGGCGGTGGTATGGTGGTGGCGGCGACGGTGGTTGTGGTGGTATGGTGGTGGTGGTGGCGGTGGCGGTATGGTGGTGGTGGCGGTATGGTGGTGGTGTTGGTGGCAGCGATGATGGTGGTGGTGGTAGTGGTTGCGGTGTTGGTGGTGGTAGTGGTGGTGGCGAGATGGTGGCGGGGGTATAGTGGTGGTGGCGGCGGCAATAGTGGTGGTGATGGTGGTATGGTGTTGATGATGTTGGTGGTGGTGTGAAGTTGGTGTAAAAGTTGGAAAATGACTTCCCCCAAAAAAAGGGGAAGTCATTTTCCTCCAAAACAAGCCTATTTTCCAAAGTCAACGAAAAATGACTTCCGTTGACTTGATTTTCCAGGCACATCCAAACACTGGAAACTTGGAAAATGATTTCCAGAACTCATTTTCCAAGTTTCCAAACACACCCTTAGTATAATAAAAATGTATCTTTATGTCAGTGATTTACCTTACAATGTAGATCATGGTCCATAATGATTGGTGAATTTTCAAATGTTATATTGTGGACTAGGCTTCGCAATGCGATAGTAAACTTTGGTCCATGATATAATTTGTGGTGAGTCTTTCACCTCCTACCTCTTTTATTTTTAATTTTTTCTTATATCTTAAAAATCCGTCTCAACATATTTCAAATCAAATATTACTTATTGAAATAGTGAGCAAAGCCTGTTTTGACAATTTTTTTTTTTGGTTACTTTGACACATTACAACCCATTTATTACTTTAATAACTAAAAATTTAACAATTGATCAGTTACAGTGAGTTAAGAAACACGAATTTCAGGTCCAACTGGAAGTATTATTGGAATGGTCAAAGTCAAAGCAGTTACAGTAGTAACCGTCTGGAGTTTGAAGTAATCCAAGCATTTAATGCAGGAACCCTTACACTTAATATAAGAACCGTTATACTCGCAAGTTAATTCAAGCAATTACTAATCTAGTATATGTACCCTGCTAATATAAGAAGTAAGGGGTACACTTAACACTCCAAATTTGTATTAAACATTATCAGCACTACAATCATCTAGTTCACTCTTAATTATTACGAATAACTTTTTAATGTTAAATCTCATTAAAGCTATCATTCTTTAAAAAAAAAATTGTATCTTCAAATATAATTCTATTATTTTCCTCGTTTCTTTTGTTAAATTAGATAATATCGAGCAACTATAAAACAATTGAAGAGGTGTGAAAATTCAGAGAAAAAAAATGTTCTGGCTTCTTGTTCGAATGATTAGTGACATATTGATACTAACTACCAAATGAATCTAAATTGTCACTAAGGAATCATTGTTGGTTTATTTAGTGACATTAATACTAAGTACCAAATGAATCTAAATTGTCACTAAGGAATCATTGTTGGTTTATTTAGTGACATATTAATACTAAGTACCAAATGAATCTAAATTGTCACCAAGGAATCATTGTTGATTGCAACAATCATTGTTGATTGCACAATGAATTTAATACAGCTGCACTACTTTTATTATTAATATTATTATTATTATATACTAATAAATTATATTAGAAAGATCATGTGTAACCAATTCAATTCAAAAGGTGTTAACAAGCACTGGACTCTTGATATTTTAATACAAGAATTATGCTCCACTTATTCTCTAATTTGGCAACTGCAGTCCGACACAATGACTAATCCCAAACACCTATTTTAGGTGGGACAGCTGACCTAGAGATTTAAGGCTGCTTCATTTTCAAAATCAAGAATTGAACCCTTAATCTTTAGTTAAGGATAGATGAGTCATTTCACTCAACCACACCCTCCAGGTCCAGGTTATACAACTGCACTGACCAAACACTTTGTGTGCCAGCCGGTTTGGATGCTGGAAGGTTCGAAAAGAACAGACAACAAACCTTGGGATTTTCCGTGCCCGTTTTGTTGCCATAGAACCTGCCATTTGTATTCCCATACGCATAGTTAACGTCGAGACTTAGTCCTTCTCGAACACTTCTCTGTGTCTTGTCTCTACCTTGGCCACATTCTTGTCCATACCTCTAAACCTCTTAAGCTCCCCTTACTTCCCCAACACAACGCCATTCACAGCTAGCTCCATCTCCAAATTAAAAGTTGATCGAGAATTGAACATGCCTAAAGAGGACTGCCTCAGCGACCATCCGACAACGTCGTCAACGGATGATGTTAAGGTTGAAGACGGCGGCGGCAATGGTGATGACGATGATCAAACACTTGCCAAGCTCCAACAGGCCTGTTCGGATCTCAAGAATCTGCTGAAAGCTTCGGCTAACATGAACGCCAGTTTAGGAGAGATGGACAAGAAGTTCGACGCCATGCGTGAAAATCTAATCATGGCGTCGAAGAGAGTGGCGCCTCTACAGTCTCTCTCCATTGCTAACAAAGCCTTGGACGCGAGAATAAACCGCGCCATCTCTCCATCCCTGGCGCTCCTCGACGGCTTCAAGCTCTCCGAGTCTCTGCAGCGCCGGCTTCTTGATTTGGCGGCGAAGATCTCCGGCGAGAAATCGGGCAAAAGGAGGCTGAGGAAGCTGATCAAGTACATGGAGTGCGTGGACGACCTAAACGAGGCGATCCGGTCCATTAGCCAAGAGTGCGAGCCGGCGATCCAGAAGTTGCAGGAAGTGGTGGAGTTTCTGAGCAGGACTAAAGCTACTGATCAGTACAGGACGCTCCGGCTGAGGGAGACTTTGGTTACCCTGAAAGCTCTCTGCGAGACGGAGGTGGATGCCATGAAGTTCGATGGATTGGTTGATGAAGCGTTGATCAATCTGCAGGATGAGTATGAGAGCTTGCTGCACAAGCTGAAGCACCAGAACATCACAGGAGTGATGCAACAGGATGATTATGGGGAGGAAGTTGACTTGGGAAGTGAACTGGAAATTCAAGTTCTCAGAAGAATTTCTGAGACCCTGGCTGCCAATGATTGCTTGGATATATGCATTGATATTTTTGTAAAGGTAAGAGTAATTAGATACATGTTAAAATGCGGACATGGCTTCCTGTGCGAACTGGAAATCAATCTGGTCAGCACTTTGTCCCTTAATTGGGTCAGTTCGGTGTGAACTTGAATTAGTCTGAACAGGCTTAAAGATGCCTCTTATAGTTAGGGTCTGCTCAGGACAAAGGTACCTCTTATAGTTAGGGTCTGCTCAGGACATCTCGTGGCCTGGTGCAGCTAGTGCAGATTGACATAAATGCACCACGTTCAGAAATGCACCAGATAAATGCAGCACAAAATGCACCACACACCCAAAAAAAATGCACCACACATAATGGTGTATTTCCAAACACTTTGTGGTGCATTTTCACATACCTAATGGTGAGCTACTGCACGGTGACACATGAAGTCCTGTTCGCATGAGAACTGATATTAAGGAAAAATTATATTTTTGGTCATCAGTTATACCCGTGGTTAACATCATAACTGTAGCTCTCCCAAATAGGAGTTGATGCATATAACTGTGCCACGGGTATAATTGAAGTTTCAAAAATGCAAAATTTCCCTTATATTAATTGCAAATTATCAGGAGAACATTCTTAAACTTGCTTTTGATTAACATTTTTTTTTTCTTTTTAACAGGTAAGATATAAAAGAGCAGCCAAGACACTGATGAGATTAAACCCTGATTACCTGAAAACTTATATTCCTGAAGACATTGATGAGATGGAGTGGGAGAGCCTGGAGATGGCAATAGGCCTTTGGACCCAACACTTTGAACTTGCTGTCAAAAATGTGTTTGTATCAGAAAAGAGACTGTGCAGCCAAGTTCTTGGAACCATTGTGGATGGAGCAATATGGGGAGAATGCTTTGTGAAGATTGCAGACAAGATAATGGCAGTCTTTTTCAGGTTTGGAGAAGGAGTAGCAAGAAGCAGGAAAGAACCCCAGAAGCTTTTCAAGCTGTTAGACATGTTTGAATCACTAGAGAATCTGAAACCACAACTCTCAGAGATTTTCGAAGGTGAACCTGGAGCAGGCATCTTTTTTAGATTCAGAGAGCTAGAAAAGCTTGTAGTCCACTCTTCTACCAAAGTTTTCTGGGAACTTGGCCTTCAGATTGAAGGAAGCCATGATGTTTTGCCTCCTCAAGATGGCTCGGTGCCAAAACTTGTTCGTTACGCGATTAACTACCTCAAATACCTTGCAACTGAAGCATACAGTGCAACAATGGCTAAAGTACTCAGAACTGAACAGATGTGGAAATCCGGGGCACTCTCGAAACCAGAAACAGATGAAAATCTACTGAGAGATGCAGTTTCCAATGTCATGGAAGCGATTCAGAGGAACGTTGAAACTAAGAAATCGAGTTACAAGGATAAAGTGCTTCCCCACATATTTGCCATGAACACTTACTGGTACATTTACATGAGGACTAGAAACTGTGAACTTGGGGTTTTATTAGGGGAGCAGTATATGAGAAAGAGGTACAAAGTTGTTGCAGAAGAGTCAGCTTATCAGTATCAGAAGCAAGCATGGGGGAGTCTAATCAAACTTCTGGAAACCGAAGAGCTGAAGAGAGTTAACAAGGAGGGGATAGGAGCAATGACAAGAGGAAGGATGGAAGCTTTCATGAAAAAATTTGAGGATATTTCACAGAGACATAAGAGCTCTTACAGAATCCCAGATTCAGATTTGAGAGAGCAAATCAGAGAGGCCACTGTGAACCTTGTTGTGCCTGCATATTCAGACTTTTTGAACAGTTTCTCATATCTTCTACAGGTGAAGGCCTACATGTCTCCTGAGTCTTTACAAAGACTGCTGGAACAGATCTTTGAGGATGACAATCAGATGGCAGGTGGCAGATCAAGGCGACGAGAATCTAGAGAGCGCTTTGAAGGAAAGAAATCATCATTTTCTGTTGAGCAATCTTATGAGAATCAAGAATTCTGATGACCCAAATCTCATATCAGGGTAGTACTATTAGACAACCACCATAGTGCATGCAATTGGTCAAAAAGCCAGAATCTTTATCCACTTTGTGGTTGTTTTATGGTATGAAATAATGTACAAGATGAACTTTGTATTTAGTGATTTGAGGTGAAAAAGATTTGATCTTTAAGGAGATTTGTGTTGTTTTGTCTTGACCCATAACCCATAATCCATAACACATGAGAATTGAACTTGAATCATCACACTTTGAACATCTCAATATAATCCCTTGATACAAAACAAGAAAGGCAAGGCAAAGTAAACAACCAATATGCATATGTAGATTATGATGATGGACAGGTACATTGAAGGAAATGCACACTGCAAAAACTCCACAATTTTAAATAATAAAGCATGACTCCATTTTTCAGGAGATGCAGATCGAAACAGGATTCGAATTAGGATTCTGCAGCAACCTCTGTGACCATAGGAGCTGAATTCTTCTCATTGTCTCCTCCCTCAAGCTGGCTCAAGTTTCCCTTCTCCTTGATGAGTTGAAGATGGTGGTGTTTGCAGTAGAGGCGGCCCTCGTGTGCAATATAGTTGGACGGGCTAATAACGCAGCCTCCATGGGTGCACTTGAAGCAGCTCTTATGGTAGGCACTCCCATTCACAGAAACCTATCAAGTTACCATTCCAACCAATCATGATTTGGGCATTTGATGTCGAAAACTCACTCAGGCATTCGATTTGGCTTTACCTTTTCGGTTGGGTACACCGTGTTCTTGCAGCCCACACATTTCTCCCTTGTCCCACCAAACATACTTGATGCTTTAGCCGCCAGTGGTTTCTGTTTCAAATGGAACATTAACCTATGAATAATGTCTTTTCACACCCATGATTCAATCAATGTCTTACCTCACTCAGGTCTGGTTTCTCTGGCTTCACAATCTTTGGTGTCCCTGAAGATATTTGTCCAGATAAATTTTTTTAACTCCAGATATTTATCAAGGTAAATTTTTTTTAAAGCTCTAGATATATATTCCTCTACCTTCAAAGCTTTTGTCCAGACTCCCAGTTCTCTTGAAGAGCTGATCAAAGTGAGGCCTGCAATACAGAACTCCCTCAAAGGAGTTGTAATTCCCAAGCTGCAAATTAAACAAACACATAAACAGTAAAAACCCATGGAACATGAAGATCCAACAACAAGAAAACTAAAGAACTGAATCAAAATTTTAAACCAAAAGTTGAAATTAAAGAGTGAACCTTGAGAGTGCCTTTGCAGTGGTGGCATCTGAAACAGGCTTTGTGGTAGACTCTATTATCTGCAGTTAACTTGTCCACCAGATACACAGTCTTGTCACAGGCCATGCACTTCTGTGTGGTTCCTGCGAACGACGCCATGATCGACTTTGAATCTCTCAAGAAAAATAGATATATAATTATGGTTGTCTGTAACTATATATATATCTCTCTCTCTTCTTCTCTTCTCTTCTGGTTTCTGCTCCAGAAATGAGGTATGGAAGATAAAGAGAGTGGGGAGATAAGGGAAGGAGGGAGAGAAACCAAATGCAGAAATATAACTAATCGAAAGAATGAAATGGACACATTCACAATTATTATCCCCAGCTTGAAAGCACCACCCTACCCATCTTAGACCTTTTCTTTTCATATATCTGCCTGCATTATTTTCATTTATTTTAAATAATTATTGATATATAATTATTAAAAAAAAAAAAAAAAAAAAAAAAACCATTTATTCCATTTTCTGGGAATAAAATATATTTCCCCAACTTGGAAAGAAAACTTTAAAAGTAAGAAACTTTGGTATGTAAGGGGGGAATCAAGAACACCTGTAAGAAGAAAGACTCATAATTGTTCCTTGCAAACTCACCAAAAGTGCACATGCGTTGTTACTTTCTTTTCACAAATTGAATTGATACCCTACTGATAGAGTTCTGTGTCATCATCACAATGGAATTGTAAAAAAAAAAGTAGAAATATAGCTAGGCATCTTAGATCGATATTCCTGGGATGTTTGAGGGACAACTAATTAACAGTGTTTTTCTTCATTAAAAATGTTTTTTAAAAAACATGGAATATAAAGTGGAGGACCATTTACAGTAATGTGCTGCTGCTGTATATGGTTTGCAGATCTAAATGCCAGTGAATCAAATTCAAAAGAAGTGGGGCATAAGGGAACATGCAAAACTGCACACAATGATGGTCAGAAAATAATCATAAACTCGAAAATTAGATTTCAAAATAATTTGAATATCGGGTTTTATGATATAGGCAGTTAACGGCTAGCCAATTCGTACGAAACAACGAAGATATAGCTAAGGAAAATTGGAAAAATATGATATTGCTTAGGTTGAAAAAAATTACAAACCTTCTTTTTGGATATTTATACAACTTAAACTACCAAGTAAAGTGATCGGACTAAATTTGAAAAGTAAATATCTAAATCAAGGATATTACTTACAAGTTGATCTTCAAAATTATAAGGGAAACAATTTTCTAAAATCGAACAAGGATCTCGAGTCTCGAATCAAAATAGACTAGGCCAGCCACTTGGGCGAGGGCGAGTGCTGGACCATCAATATTCAACTTATCAGTCACAAATTTAATAATTTGTCGTGTTATATGTGTCAATTTGTTTGAAAACAAAATTATTAAACTTGACTTATTTTGGATAAAATAAATAATTCTTTATCACCATTATTGACTGGATTACTAGGGCAAGTCACAATCTCACTATAGCAGTGATGAAACATGGATCTCTGTTTAAATGAGTTTTTATTGTTCCTGTCTGGGTACTAAACTACTAATCAAATTGAGAATAAGAAATTATGAAAAAGAAAATTTAAAAATCTTTGTTCTTTTAGAGAGTTGTTGAGAGCCCTTAATGATTCAACCATCAAATAGTTAGCTGGCAATCTATCTTGGACCACTATAATTAATATTAGTACCCACAATCGAAGGAGAAAAGTGTAATAACATAAAGTAGGTAGTTTGATTAGTGTGGGAATGAGAGAATTTTTGTGCTTTGTTCACTGTCCAGAGAAAATGTTGCAGAGGGAGAGAGATCAGAGTGCTTGCATTGAAAAGGAGTTGTGTAGTTATTGATTTACGGAAAAATCTGTAATTACTGTTGAATATCTGTTTTAAGTTAAACTTGTCTTTGCGATCTTAGTCGACAAAAGATCATAAGAAGGTAATTAGCATAAGTTGTCTATAGTTAATATGCTTAAACCAAATAGATTAATGGGCGAGTCAAACTTGAAACCTTGTGATTATAAGTTAACTGTTTGGCTATCTTAGCTGGGGGTTGTTTTGGGATTGTGTAGCTCTTGGTTGTCGTCTACTAGTTGAGAGAGGGTGTGAAGTTCCTTTTATAGTCCAATTGTGCATTGATTGATTTTAATTTTACAACTTCCCTTTCATTTGTTGGTCGCCATTTTCTAGTAATTATGTGATGGGCCACGATGTGGTCTAGTGCGGAGATTAATTCATTTGTGCTTTAATAGGTTGAGTAATTATGTGATGGTTGAGGTTTAATGCATTTATAATTGCTATCACTTCACTTAAAGTGTTGTCTCCTTGATGGAATACATCTACTATCTACTATATATATATATATATATATATATATATATATATACACTAATAAGAGCCCAAGAGAGTTAGGTCTATAATGGGTAAAAAAAATGGCGGTCACAGATTTTAATCAAATGAATGACTCAGATTAATTAAAAGATTGATCAGATTTAAATTTTACACTAAAATTTCCTAAAATACCCACACACCGTTACTAATTCCGTTAAAATTTTAAGAATTGCCGTTAGTTCACCGTTAACTTACTCATTGATTTCAATAAAAAAAAAAAAAAAAATCTTAGGTTCGAACCTCATCCCAATCAAAGTTGGCATAATTAGTACTCTATTTTACTCTTCTTAAATTATATAAATAATAATTTAGTAGTTACAACAAAAAATAATACATATGCATTTCTTTAATTTAGAATTATGTGTCCACAATGCCTTTATTCAAAAAAAAAAAATTATTCATTATCAATCAATTAAATAAGACATATAATTTTATTAGTTATATTGTCTTTATTTTTCTTCAATATAAAAATTCTTTATATTCAAATTTATTAATTGATTATATTCGCTACATTATCCTTATAATGTCTTTATTCAGTGAATTTTTTTTTATTAATTATCAATAAATTAATTAAAAGAAATATTTTTATTAGTTATATTGTCTTTATTTTTCTCAAATGTAAAAATTTTTACATTCAAATTCATCAATTGATTATATTCACTACATTATCTATTATCTTTTTTTGTGCACTATTTTTCTAATTAAATATCAAAGTTATAATACAAAATAATGCTATATATATTTATTTACCAAGTATTTTATTAATACCATGAAAAAATTAAAAAAATATAATTAATAAAGTCAACCATATTAACTACTTGAGAGATTTTTTGACAACGAGAGTATTCAAATCACACAACAAATTGAAGTGAGAACTACCTCGCAATGTTCTTGTTTGACAATCAGCAGTTAGCGGTTAACGTTAGCGGATTATACTAGCGGATTTGACCAACGAATTTATTTAATTATTAACATTGGGTAGAAAAAATGACGGCCAAATTATTAAATCAAATGAATGGTTCATATTGTTCAGGTTTTAATTTTTTCTTTTAAGATTTTCTAATTTATCCTTAATTATATGATTATCTATTTAACTTTTCCGATAATTCACCGTTAGTCTAATTCTAATATTAAAGTCTAATATAGAATTATAACTACACCATTAATCTAATTCTAATATTAAAGTCTTAATAGAACTTAACCACAAATCCTAATGTCGGAATCTCCTCAAACAATATTAGTATATATTTAATATTTTATGTCCTAATTTTTATTTGTTCTCCCTTATGTTCCGTATTTGGTTTCAACCATACCTATACAATTATTTTATTGACAATTATAATCAATCTTGACTATATTATCTTGCATTTGTAAACTTAGAATTACCTATTTAACCCGCACGGGCTTAGCTCAATGGTTTAGTGGGTAGTATTTAGGAGAAGAGACGAAGGTTTGAACCTCGGCGGCGGCAGTGCGGGAATTATGTCACAAGTGGGCAGATTCCTTGTGCGTATCAGCATTTGGCCCTGTCTGCTGAATCATTGAGTCACCATGATTTACAACTTCCCACAATGCTCTGTCGGGTCGGAGTGTGGGGCCCTTGGGGTTGGGGACTCAACCTTTGGGAGAAGAATTACTTATTTAAATACGCAAATTCAACATTCAATTATCTATGCATGAACAATTTCAATATAATCCTGTCTTAATATACTTTAAAGTACTTATTTTAAAAAAAAAAAGCATTGGGCATTATCCATCGCGCAATGCGCGTAAAAAACTAGTATATACTAATAAGAGCTCAAGAGAGTTAGGCCTATAATGGGTAGAAAAAATGGCGGTCAAATTTTTTAATCAAATGAATGGCTCAGATTTTAATTTTTCCTTAAGATTTCCTAATTTATCCTTAATGAATATGATTATCCGTTAACTTTTCCGTTAAATATTATTTTTTCCATTAACTTCTGTTAGTTCACCGTTAACTTACTCATTGATTTCAATAAGAAAGGTCTTAGGTTCGAACCTCATCCAAATCAAAGTTGGCATAATTAGTACTCTATTTTACTCTTATTAATTTAAAATAATAATTTAGTAGCTACAAAAAAAAAAAAATACATATGCATTTCTTTAATTTAGAATTATGTGTCTACAATGTCTTTATTAAAAAAAAATTAATTATCAATAAATTAAATAAGAGAAATAATTGCATTAGTTATATTGTCTTTATTTTTCTCAAATATCAAAATTCTTTACATTCAAATTCTTCAATTGATTATATTGCTATATTGTCCCTACAATGTCTTTATTAAAAAAAGTATTCATTATCAATGAATTAATTAAGAAAAATAATTTTATTAGTTATATTGTCTTTATATTTTTCCAATGTAAAAATTCTTTACATTCAAATTCATCAATTGATTATATTCACTACATTGTCTATTCTCTTTTTTGTGCATTATTTTTTAATTAAATATCAAAGTTAAAATACAAAATAATGCTATATATTTATTTACCAAGTATTTTATTAATACCATGAAAAAATTTTAAAAATAATAATTAATAAAGCCAATCATATTAACTACTTGAGGAATTTGTTGACAAAAAGAGTATTCAAATCACACAACAAATTGAAGTGAGAATTACCTCGCATTGTCCTGGTTTGACAATCAGCAATTAGCGATTAGCGTTAGCAGATTATGGCCTTGTTTAGCAATTAGCGGTTAGCAAATAGCGGATTATATTAGCAGGTTTGACCAGTAGATTGTATCAGCGGTTTGTAAAAAGATGTTAGGTAAAATTAGCTGTTTAGATTAGCGGTTAACATGTAAAATGACCAAAAGAGTATAATAATAATAATAATAATAATAATAATAATAATAATAATAATAATAATAATAATAATAATAATAATAATTTT